CCCGGCCGCCCCGCGCCGCAGTGGGACGACGACGAGGACGGTCTGCACGCCTGGCGTGTGGGCGCGCTGTGCACGCTGGACGTCGCCACGCTGGCGCTCATGGGCGTGCTGCTGACCTGGCAGGCGCTGGCCTGGCGCGGCGTCCCCCTGGCTGTGCGCGGCGCCACGCTGGGCTTCGCCGCCGCGGCCGGCGCGCTGGCGCGGCACGCGGACGTCGCGCGCGGCGCGCGCGCCGCGCGCGACGAAACCCTGGCCCTGCTCGACCTGGCGGTGTCCGTGTGGCAGGGCGTGGTGGGGCGGGACGGGCAGGCGGGGCTGGAGCCGGCGCCCGCCGCCGCGGCCGCCGCCCCGGTCCCGCCCGCGCGCGTCATGGACGCCTGGACCCTGGTCTGGGTCCTGGGCGTGCTGCTGGCCTGCCAGACGCGGTACCGCGCGCACGCGCGCCTCCAGCTGCTGGTCCGTGGCGGCGCCGCTGTCGCCTTCGACCTGCTGGCCAGCCAGGGCGCCGGGCCCGCCGCGCGCCTCCTGCGCGCCCTGCGGGTGGGGTTGCCCCTGCTCGCGGCGCCCCTGGCGCTGGACACCCTGCTGCACAGGGTCTCCTGGTACGCCTACACGCAGGCGCAGGCGGGGCGCTGAGAGGAGGGAATGCAAGGGGGGGGGGCCAAGGTGCACCGCGCGGCCGCGCGGCGCGACGCGCAACGCGCAGCGCGCGGCCCCCGCCCCCGCCCATGTCGACCTTGACCCAAGGGCGGCGGGCACCCTGCTGAAGTGGTCCAGCCTGCGACGCCATCCCCACGCCCTCCTCCCCATCCACACCCCCATACCCATCACCCGCACTTGTACTTGCTGCCGCTGCCCATGCCTGGGTACCCCGGCGGGCGAATGTCCTCCCTTCCGAGGCCGGCAGCTCCCACGTTCCCATCCCCCCTCAGCCCTTCCGTTCCCATCCCCCCCTCAGCCCTTCCGTTCCCATCCCCCTCTTCCCGGTACTTATCTCATCATGTCGCCGTCTCTCGAGCGCGACCTTCTCGTGCCTGCCGGGGTGATCGCCCTTGAGGGCGCTCCGGCAACTTCTCCTACCTCTTTCCCTTTCCTGACTGCCCAGGACACTTTTTTATGGGTACAGCGGCACTCCTCAAGCCCTGCGTCTTGCACTGCCTCGCTGACGAGGCTTTCCTGGCCCGTATGCACTAGCACCCCGAAGGCCCCACATACCCACATCCTCCGTCCCCTGTGCACATTGTTCTGCCAGCGGCAAACCCCTTTTCCCCAGGTCAGAACGCCTGAGTATACAGCTGCAGGCTTCTATAATGTTGTTGTTGCATGTCCAGGCTTTTGAAGGTCAGTAATCCAGTGATCTTATGTCGTGAAGGAGGTCAAAGTGTATAGGAAGAGGATGTTGCAGCCTAGCTCTTGTCACCACGATCTGTCAGTGTGCCGAGTGATTGTCTGTGGTCCAAGAGGGTTCTGCGTGATGAGCTCCAAAGTGTGAGTCATTCCAGCTGCCATGTCCATCATCGTTGAGGTGCTGCAGGTGCCCCCCTTCGACAGGTGAGAAAGCGGGGAAGGCCCCTGTGCCTGCATCACGAAGGAAGGTTGATCGGGGCGCTGTACTGGGGCAGTAGCTCCGTGCCAAACACCTTCGAGCCAGTCAAAGTCCTTGAGCTGAAAAGGCACCTCAAGTGCGAACCTGCTGGGGACGCTGCCATTCTCTGCAGCTGGTCTGGAATGCCCTCTGTCACCGCGCTCAGGCGCTGGCTCGTCTTCGTTGCTCTGTTGCGACTCCTTGCAGGTGATCCGGGGCGCCTGGGGGATGTGCAGCCTGCATGGCGATTGGGGGGAGCATGTTCAGGCCTGAGCGAGCGGTAGTCGGTGCCCAGGTTGAAAACTCGGCGCCCCCTCCCCCGTGCAGTGGTCATCGGCTTCGGCTCCCCAGACAAGCTGCGCACGAATCTTTACAATCGGAAGCCTTTCCTTGGTGGGTGACGAGCACGAAGGGCAACGCTTGAGCCGGCCTGCCATTGCTACTGGTCGTCGCTGAATGCCTTGTATCGGCCCATGACCCCGCCCCACAGTGAACGACCTGCAAGGCCGCACCTTTGCGGTGTGGACCCTGACATCCTCCGTCCTCTGCCTCATCTGTGCCCGCAACCCCTGCGTGCCCTCCATCTACGGGGCGACCCTGGCATCCTTTGCCATCGCCCTCCTTCACTTCCTGCTGGAGCTGACGGTGTTTGGCACACTCGATTGGCGAGGCGCCCTGCAGCCCGGCATCGTCGCCACGGTCTCTGTCCTCTGGATGGGGGCAGGCTGGAATTACTACACGTCATATGCGCCCAGGGCAGAACCGACGTGCGTCAGGGGGTCCAGGCGGCGACTGCGCTGACCGGCATGGGAGGATGGGTACGTCTTGCCTGGTTTGAATGCTGTTCGAGTCACCCCAGTCCGCCCCATCCCCTCCAACCCACCTTAAATATCCCTATGGTGGCCTGCAGGGTGTCTGAGGAGGTCACCGTTACAAAGGATGAATGAGGACTCCCCTTCAGGGCTGCGAGGGTGTCTGCGGACCTTGCACCGCCTCCTTTTCGCTGTCAGACTACACCTGAGTTAGGTCCATCCCCCTTTACAGCATGCTTGCGCAGAAACCACAGTTTCATCCAATACCCTGATGGGCATACACCCCTGTTGTAATTTAAGAACTTGTGTGCGTGGTATCATTGCCCCCCCCGCTCCTGAGCCGTTCGCAAGGTCAGGGTCAAATGTAAGTTCTGCAGCCATGCAGAGTTGGAGGGAGCTTGGCGCGTGATTCGATGTATCACACACCTCCTGACATCGGCTTTGCAAACCTCGAGACGAGATCAGACTGTCAGTGCAGCGTTCCGCACAGCCCATACACCTGCCGCCCCAGTCATCACCTCCTGCATCCGCGCGGGCGAGAGGGTGCAGCGCACAGCAATGGCAGAGGATGGCAAGCCGGTAGCGAGGGAGGAAGGCGAGGCATCTCCTGCAAAAGGTGAGCCATGGGAGTGGTGGTGGGGAAGAGTGTTGGGGGGAGCACCCACTGCGCGCTCGCGATGGTCACGCTCCACCTACGGTGCCTGACCACAGTGGAGGCTGCCAACGAGGAGACGCACCCCTTGGAGACGAAGTGGACTTTCTGGTTCGATAACCCTGAGGGAAAGCAACATCAGGCGCAGTGGGGCAAAACTTTGCGGCCTGTCTACACTTTTGGCACCGTGGAGGAGTTCTGGGGGTGAGGAGGGTACTCCCGGGAGCGATGTGGATGATTGGGAATCGGAGTATCTTAACCTCTGTTCGAATCTGTGACAGTTTCGGGTGGCAATGGGACCTCCTATCCAGAGAGCCACCCCCTTGCGCGGTGGATGGAGTCTTTGGGAGGGAGAATCACAGCGGCCGTGCGGATCTGCTGTCATCCCTCTGTGGCCTTGCGGATTGGTGTGGATTCAATGCGCAGATGCAGAGCTGATCTACACACACCATGATTATTAATTGTACGATGGATTCCCTTTGCCTCCATTTGCCTGTGCAAGCCACATCTGCCAGCCTCTCACCGTCCCCCACATCCCCTCCCGCGCACGCAGCCTGTACAACAACATCCTGCCGCCCTCCCGCCTGGCGGTGGGAGCCGACATCCATCTCTTCCGGGATGGCATCGAGCCCAAGTGGGAGGACCCTGCCTGCGCCAACGGTGGCAAGTGGTCCTTCCTCATCCCCAGGGGGGGCTCTCCCTCGGCTGCCCAACTGCTGGACACCAACTGGCTGCACGTGGTAAGCCTCTTGGATGGGGAGCAGGGGACCAATGGGGTCCTGCGTCTCTTGCAGCAGAGAGGCCCTGCTGGTGTTGCCACCTGCCTCATGCTATGGCTGCCGGGCCCGAGTCGCAGATCCAGGGGGGCCTCCATCCCCATTCCATGCACCATTGGTCCCGCCAGATCTTCCCCCTGGGCGCCATCCTCAGTCGCCCTCCACCCCTCCTGCTCCTCGCAAGATCCTGGCCTGCATCGGCGAGCAGTTTGACGACGGCGAGGAGATCTGCGGTGGGGTGGTCAATGTCAGGGCCAAGCAATACCGTATCGCGCTGTGGACCCGCACCGCCGCCAACGAGGCGGTGCAGGTGGCCATCGCCAAGCAGCTGAAGGAGGTCCTCCAGATGAGCGACCACGCCAAGATCGGCTTCATGGCACATGTGAGGCCGGGGGCTGGTGGAATGGGCGGGGCTGGGATGGTGGTGCCCACGAGCGGCGGACGTCAGGGCCTGTGGTCCTGTGTGCATTCGCGAGTCGGGGCTGCAGTGCTGGCCCATCGCGCTTGCCATATAGCTGGTTCACGTGGGCGAAGTCGGCAGTCCCTCTCTGGGGGTGATGGAGTGCCTGGGCGTTCACATCTGCTCAGGCCTGTGCGCTTCCAGATTGCTTGTCCCTTCACCTGCCACGGACCCCTTCCTCCCATCCCCTTCATCCATGCAGTCTGATGCCAAGCAGTCAAACAAGCCCAAGGACCGCTACACCGTGTAAATGCGACTGCATGCATTCTTTGGTGTCTGTAGCGGAGGCAGAGAGTGGCACGGCGAGGCACGGTGCCGAATGACAACAGGGTACAGAGGGAGTGACACATCACTCCTGGAGGGGCTTGGCAGCAGCAGTCTGCAGCCCAGTAGAGGAGGAGGATTGGCATCAGGGTAGACTCCTGCAATACAAAAGACTCCCAGTGACCAGCATGTTCACTCGAAGACATCCAAGCCCTGTACTCGGGAGATCACCGTCCCGATCACACACCTGGGCATCCTTTGAGCCGCTTGTAGCTGTCCCGGATGCCGGCTTCTCGGACAGGGTGTGGTGCACCGGGTTGTAGTCATGGGCGATGGCCTTGGCCTCTTTCACGTCCGAGACATCCTCCTCATGTGTCGGTGGGCCCACCACACGCGCGTGCCGGGTTCCGCTGTCTGCCATGATGTTGAATTTGTCAGGTTTTATTGCCATCGCACCCATGTGATGCAACGTGTGTGTGCTTGGAGGGTGTGTGGGCTTCCCCACGGCATCGCATCTTGCCAGCTGGCGGGAGCTCGGGGAGCTCACCACCACTGAGCGATCGAAGGGGCATTGTCACCGAGTGCCGCCATCGAATTCACATGTCAGCTTCCTGTCATGATCACTGCCATTGACTCGCCGCCCATCAGATCAGCTAGGCAGTCGTGCATGGGTGCCTGACGGCCTGCGCGGCCCCGGCAATGATGGGCGTGCATCCCAGCCTGTCCGCCATGCCCGGCATGCTCAGCGCACTAAACCCACCCGTCCGCCCCTTCTCGACCTATACGCTCGTGCCGCAGCATCGGACCAGGGCATGCCCCCCACCCATCCACATCTCGAGGCCCTCCCTGTGGCCCACCACTCAGCAATCGGCCTTGCTGGCGGACATCCAGGACGCCCTCCTGTCCTCGGGCCCACGGGGCATCCTGCGTGGCGCCCAGGTCGCCAGGATCGCGGCCGGCCTGACCCTGGAGCAGGCGCAGCGCGTCGCCCAGCGCCGGCCGCCCCTCTCAGGCCCGGCGGTGCTGCGCAGGCTGTGCGAGGGGCTGGGGGCCACCTACATCAAGCTGGGTCAGGTCATCGCTTCCATGCCCTCCTTCTTTCCGCCAGAGTATGTCCAGGAGTTCCAGGCATGCCTCGACGCGGCCCCCCCCGTCCCCTTCTCCGAGATCAGGTGTGCTGCTGAGGCGGGGGACCATGTGGGGTGGGGGAGGAGCGGCTGGGGAGTGGGCTGGTGGGAGGCTGGGCGCTGAGGCAGAACTTTTCTGTCGCACTGCGTCTGCGTTGGGCACTAAATGTCTGGAGATGGGGCCGCCAAGTGCTGTGACCTGCGACTGGCACCAATGTCCAACCCCCCATCCTCTCCCCCCCCGCCCCCGGGCCGTACAGGCCGCTGATAGAGGCAGCCGCAAAGGCCCCCCTGCACAGCGTCTACGCCCACATCGACCCGGTCCCCCTGGCTGCCGCCAGCGTGGCACAGGTGCACGTGGGCGTGCTGCGTGCCTCTGGAAAGCGCGTCGCGATCAAGGTGCTCAGGCCCGGCATCGAGGACACCTTGCGCACAGGTGTGAGTGTGTAGAGGGCGGCATTCTCGAAGGATCGGTCTTGAGGTTTACCTATTCGCGCTTGGCTCCGTGTGGGAGGGCCGTCCGCCACCGGCTCCCCTCGCCGAAAGCTGGGGTACCTGCTGTGCCAAGCCGCCATTGTCAGGTTCCACGGCCCTCCCCCTCTGGCCCACCTCACTCCCAACCCCTGCCCCCCTTCCCTCCTCCTTTGCCTTCATAACATCCCCAGACATGACCTTCCTGGTGCTGGGGGCGCGGCTGCTGGAGGCTGCCAGCCCTTCCTTATCTCGCACCTCCCTGGCGGCCATGCTCTCCGACTTCCGGACCTCGGTCCTGGGCGAGGCAAACCTGGAGGCTGAGGCCCGGCACATGGCCGCCTTCAGCGCCTACCTGGACGCCAGCGGCGCGCGGCGCCTGGCCACCTGCCCCGAGCCCTACCCCGCCTTCTCCAGCCGCCGGGTGCTGGTCATGGACCTGCTGGAGGGCGTCCCCCTCACCGACGCTGCGGTCGTGGTCGCGCACGCGCCGGGGACGGACCCGGAAGCCGTGCTCCGCGCGGCGCTGGACACCTGGACCGGCTCCCTACTGGCCTGCGAGACGTTCCATGCCGACATTCATGCAGGTTGGCTGGGGGGGGTGGGGGAGAAGGGGGGAGGGAGTCAAGACAGGAATAGGAGTGTGTGGTCCGAGGGCTCAGAGCACAGGCGCACAGGAGACTCGTACGACCATGCGCCGACTCCCGCCCACGTCTCCTCACCCCTTCATCGCCAGGCAACCTGCTGGTACTGCGCGACGGCCGGGTGGGCTTCATCGACTTTGGCATCGTGGGCTCCGTTTCGCCCGTCACCTGGGCGGGCGTGCGTGCGCTGGGCCAGGCCCTAGTCGCCGGCGACTGGGCGGCCGCCGCCGCGGCCCTGGCCACCGTGGGCGTCACCGAGGCGCAGGTCAGTGTGCAGGGCCTGGCGGCCGACCTGGCGGGGCTGGCGGGGCGGCTGGGGGAGCTGGACGCGGCCGCGGTGCTTTCCTCCATGGAGGGGGGCCCCAGCGCCGGGGCCCTTGAGGCCATCGAGCCGCAGGTGGGGGGGGTGGGGTGGAAAGTGGGAAAGGGCATGTTTTTGCGGTGTGGGATGGTGATCCCAGGGGGAGTGAGAAAGGGGGAGGGAGGCTGCTGACAGGATGTCCCGGCGGCAGTTCATAGGAAATGTGATGGATGGCTATCACCGGGTGGACAGGCATCGCCACGCGGGGGCGGGGTTGATGCCGTTTGCGGTCAGTGGAACGGGCTGCTCGTCTTTGCCACACCCCTCCGCACACCCCCTCCCAACGCCCCCCCACACACCGCCAGATAAACAAGATCCTGGTGGACCTCACGAGCATGGGTGAGAAGCACGGCATCCGCTTCCCACGCGAGTTCGGCTTGCTGATCAAGCAGCTCCTCTACTTTGACCGGTACACCCGGATTCTGGTGCGTGAAATGGGTGCTGACTCAGCACCTCTGCACGCCCTGCATGTGTATGGGGGAAGGCCCTGCAAGGATCCCGGACGCCTGTGGAGAACCGGACGATGAAGCGGCCGGCCCCACCGGCACCAATCCACCCGCACCCTCTACCTCCGCAGGCCCCATCCCTTAGCGTGTTTGATGGCAAGAAAGAGGTCCAACCACATGACTACATCGATGTCTGACGCTGACGCTCGCAGGCTCCTGGGTGAAGATCTTGCGATAGATAACCATACACACACTCTCATGAGTATGTCGCCAGGTTGGCGTACTCCCAGCATGCCTGTAATCAGCTGCAATCCTGACTTTGCACAAGCAGGGCACAGCAGGCACTGTTGTTTTGGCCCTGTGCTTGCCACACGCTGATGTTCATGATAGGGTTTCCCTTCCGCAGGAACACACCCACCTTGACCCATTACTCCTGCGCACTCCCTTGCTGCAAGCACATGGAAAGAACGCATTGTGCAGAATCAATTCAAGACTAATCGCTATCCCGTGTTCAAAGCCCCTTCCTGTGGCCCCACATTGGGTCCCCGAGAATTGTCTGTGAGGAGATCCGCGGCCCCCCCTGGGCGCGGCCCGGGAGGGTTGGGCGATTCTCAACAGTGGCGCGTGGGATGAATAATGTCACAAGGCTCCAACCCAAATGACTACAGAGCTCGCTTCCTTCCAGTGAATCAAACTTTCGTGGTGTCGCACCCTGTGGTACGAGGTCAAAAGCCCTGCACCGCCACAGTCCCGGGATTCTGCAGGCATGGAGGACGAGCAGCGCACCGACCTGGAGGCTCTCCTGATTCCCAGGAAACGTGCTGAAGAGGAAGAAGAGTGAGTTGGTGCCGAGCCCGAGTCCGAAGTTTTGAAATGTTGCCTGGGGCACCCTTTTCCTCGGTCAGAGCAGGGTTTGGGGTGTCGGCGAGGAACAGTACTGCAGCCCACCTTCTCAGCCCCGTCCACGCCCACCACCGCGCTCAGGAGGGAGCTCTGTTACCCCAACGAGCCCCTGAGCCCCGGTCGTCATGGTCTTCGCGTCACATCGGTGCGTGAATGGGGGAGTGTGTACATGTGGGTGTCCATGGCCGCATGCAGGTGCTTTCTCATGCATCGTGCATGGCTGCGACCTCCTACTCATGACGCAATCCGGCTGCTGTGGCTTCCGCTGCGAAGTTGACGGGGGAGCGGGTCGCACTCCACTCCCAGCCGCTGCTGCCGGCCTCAATGGCTCTGGACACCTGCCCCATCGTCTGACCTCCCCGTCTCGTTGCCTGCCCGAAACCCACGAGCAACACACGCATGTGCACCCTGTATTGCCCGCCTGCCCCCCTCCTCCTCCCACCCCCTTCCCACCCCCCAAACCTCCCCTCTCCACCCACCCCCATTCCTCCCTGCATCAGGCCACTGCCAATCTGGCGACCACGATCATGGGCGCGGGCATCATGGCGCTGCCGCGGGCCTTCGCGACGCTGGGCCTGGGCCTGGGCTTCGGCCTGCTTATGGCCGTCTTTGCGCTATCCTTCTTCTCCCTGGATGCGTTGGTGCGCTGCGCGGCCATCGCGCGGCGCGGCACCTACGCCGAGCTGGTGCACGCCGAGTTTGGCATGCTGGGCAGCCGCTTGCTGGAGGGGTCCATCGTGCTGAACAATGCGGGCACCATGATCATCTACCTCATCATCATCGCCGACGTGCTGGTGGGCGTTCCCCCGCACTACTCCGGCCTGGTGACTAACCTGGTGGGCATCCACGACCCTGCCGTATGGTATGTCTCCCGCCCCGTGGTGGTGGGCGCGCTGTGCGTGCTGTGCCTGGCTCCCCTGCTCTCCCTGCGCGACCTGGCGCTGCTGGCCCCCGCCTCCACCGCCGCCGTGGGCGTGGCCGGCGCCTTTGCACTGAGCGTGCTGGGCATCGCCGGCCGCGCGGCCTGGACCGGGCGCCTGGCCGCCTTCCGCTGGCTGCCGAGCGCGGAGGCGCTGGGCGGCAGCCCCGCGCGCATCGCGCTCACCCTCCTCTCCGTCCTCCCCGTCATCTCCCTCTCATTCGTCTGCCACTACAACATCCTGCCCCTGGCAGCCTCCCTCCAGCGCTTCAGCGACCGGCGCATGGCCATGGTCATCCGCCGCGCGCTCGCCGTCTGCACCACCGTCTTCACGCTCGTCGCCGGCGGCGGCTACATGCTCTTCGGCCCGGACACCGACGCCAACATCCTGAACAACCTGACCCCGGAGGGCCTGGCAGCCTTCGTGCCCCACACCTTTGCTGCCGTGCTCTCGATCGCGGTGCGCGCGGGGTACTGCCTCTGCCTCGTGGCCACCTTCGCCATGCTCAACTGGGCGCTGCGCCAGACGCTCTCGCGCATCGCGCTGGGCGTGGACATGCCCGAGGGCGCCGCCTTCTACGCCGTCAGCTATTCCATCCTGGCGGTGCTCTACGTCGTCTCCATCGCCTTTCCCTCGGTCTGGGGAGCCATGAGCCTGACGGGGGCCACCGCCGCCGTCATGGTCGCCTTCATCCTTCCGGGGGCCTTGGTCGTCAGGCTGGAGCGGGAGTCGCACCTGTCGCGTGCTCTGGGCTACCTCTGCGTCGGACTGGGACTGGTCATGGGCGTCGTGGGCGTGGCCAACACCCTCTGGCTCTCCAAGCTCTGACCTGCAGGGCGGGAGTGGGCACTGCGCAGGCCCCGGACGAAGGGCCCGTACTGCTGCGTGATCAAGACCGTGGCTGCTTCGGTGCGACGAGACCCAGCGGCGACCTGGCTCGCTGTGACCTCCTGGCCCATCTGCAGCGCGAGACCGCGGCGGCGGCCTGCTGGCCTCCGATGTCCCCCTGGGCCATTCTACCCAACATCATGCATGTGGTCGGGATCTGCCCATTCCCTTTCAGCCCTCAACTGCTGGCCCCAGCCTTTTGGACACTGCCCACCCACTTGCAGCTGTGCTGGTTGGCCATCATGGGCCGCTTTCCAGCCTGTCACATGCAGCTTCCGCGAAACCACCCCGTGCTTGCCGGCCGGCCTGCAGGGCTGGCAGCATCCCCGGTCAACACCGACCACTATCTCTGTCTACAGCTTGCCACATTGTCAACCGAAGAGTGCGGGTGTGACATGGTACAGGAAGCACTGAGTGGCAGGGGCCAAGTTCCAGTGACACGCACAAGGGGCTGCATGGCTCTGCCAGAAGCATGCTGCGGGGGTTCGAGGGGCCATGTGCCAAGCAAACGCTCGTTCATGAGGGCCCAGCATGGGCGTGCAGCAGGCTGCACCCCGATTCCAGAGGCTGTCGTGGCGCGGGCGTTTCATTGCCTGCATCCATCGGCCCTGACGGGCCGGCCCTCAGGACCGTGTGAGGCCTCTGCCCTTGCCAAGAAATCAGGCTGCCACTCCGCCCCTCCTCAGGCCGCCGCCCCACCAAAGGTCAGGCCGCCGCCCCACCAAAGGTCAGGCCGCCGCCTCCACGGCGGCCCGCAGCGTGGCGATGACCTGGCGCGGGTCCTGGGCGCCAAACACGGCCGACCCTGCCACGATGACGTTGGCCCCCGCCTCCGCGGCGGCCTCGATGGTGGCGGGCGCCAGCCCCCCGTCCACCTCGATGTAGAGCCCCGGCCGCGCCGCGCGCAGCCAGCGCACCTTGTCCAGCTGGTCGGGCATGAACTTCTGGCCGCCGAACCCGGGCTCCACCGTCATGATCAGCACCATGTCCACGGCGTCCAGGTAGGGCTCCAGGCGCTGCACGGGCGTGCCGGGCTTGATCACGATGCCCACCAGCATGCCCGCCGCCCGGATGGCCCGTATCAGGGCCGAGACGTTTGGGAGGGGTTCCGCGCCCGGGCCCGGCTCGGGGTCCACCGCCTCGAGGTGGAAGGTGTACATGTCCACCCCCGCCGCCGCAAAGTCGTCCACCCACTGCGCGGGGTTGGAGACCATGAGGTGGCAGTCCAGGAAGGCGTCGGTGTGGGCGCGGAGGGCCTTGACGATGGGAGGGCCCAGGGTCAGGTTGGGCACAAAGTGCCCATCCTGTGTAGGGCGGGAAGTGGGGGGATGCTTGAGCGCGTGTTTGCAAGGGGGCGTCTGTATGCTGAGACGCCGGTGCATGCAAGGCCACCGGCAGCCTGGCCCGCGGCTTGTGAGATGGTCGAGTGCAGAGTACTTTCCCATGCCCTCCCTGCACCTGACCAACCCCAGGTCCCCCTGATCACCATGACGTCGACGTGCAGCCAGTCGGCCCCCATGCTCAGAATTTTCTTGCTCTCTGCGGCCAGATCAGCAAAGTCAGAGGACAGGATGGATGGCGAGATGATGGCGGGGGGCCCCTTCCCCTTGGGAGCGGGGGCGAGGGACCGCGGCATGGCCCCTTCCTGGAGGAATATAACCTCAATGAGGAGCGGTCGTTTATTTTATATCACCGCGGGATAGAGGGTCTCGACTGAGCGAGCCAGTGGCGCCGCGTATGCCACCAGCATGGTAACATGAATGTGACCGGAACTCGACGCGAGCGCGCGACCGCGCCAGATGTATCTCGCACTGGCAAAACGCGCTGGGCGCTTATGGACCTGCAAATCTCGTCCCTTATGACTATTCTAAAATCTCGCCTCGATCAAGCTGCTCGTGCCGCGGTGAGGCCTCGCTCATGGCCGGGCTGTCGCTGGTGAGGAGGTAGCCATGGCGGGCTCCCAGGACTCCAAGGACGTGCCCACCCCGAAGAAACAGCGCAAAACAAGGGCAAATGCAACACTCAAGAGACCTGGGGACCCGCATGAGACCAGCTCGCCCCGGGCTCCCCGGTACGAGGGCTCGCCTCGGGTGCCCACTACCCTGGCTCCTGCCCTGTCTGTGGGTGCCAGCAATGACACCGGCACGGGAAAGCCGGATCTGGACGGCGAGGAGGATGCTGCCGTCGTAGGAAGTGAGCGGGGTCCAGTGTGAGGGTTCCTGTTGCAGATGGACGGGACTGACATTGCTTATCACTGAGGAGCTGGAGTGCCAAGTGGGCCATCCGACCGCGTCGACCTCACTCCCGGCTCAACTGCACAGGCGCCACTGCGGCTTTCCGCACCCTGTCGGTCCACGCCCTGGACGGACAGGTGGCGGATGCTCTGGGAGCTGTGGCTGCTGCTGTTCGCGATGTCCAGCCCCCCTCCCCGAAGAAGCGGAAGGCGGGGGCGCCCCAGACCGCAGGCAGGTGGACTTCTAGCTCCTCCACTGTTTGGACTTGCGCTGCAGGGCGCTGGCCTCTGCACGCAGCAATGTGCATGACCTATCGCCCCGCACACATGTCGCAGGTCGCGGGAGCCCTCCACCCCAGCGTGCCCTCCACGATCTGCTGGCCGAGTTTGGCCGCATCGAGCTGAATGCCGACATGCTGGCGGCCATCCAACGCACCGAGTCTCATGCCGCCCTGGGTGAGACAATGCGATAGCAAACGAGGATTTTTAAGGAAATGGAGGCGGCAGGCGATACCAAGGGCGGCCTGGCAGGTGCTTCATGTGAAAATCGGGCAGCGGTCCGTACCTCTCCTCCCCAGGGTCATTCGATACCCTTGACCCTCATGCATGCATGCTGCCCCCTCTTTCCAGCAGATGGAGCGGCCCGGCACTCGACACATCAGCAGTCCCCGCTCACCCTGAACCGCGCCGCCTTCGAGCGTGTGGTCGGCGCCGCCCGCGCCTCGCTGGCTGCCGACCTGGCGCGGCTTCGTGCCCGGGCCGAGGGGAACCCTGCTCAGGAGACACTGCTCCGCACCTACGCCCTGAGAGCCGTTGCACGCTTTGCCGAGCAAGGTGCGGACTGAGTGGTGCGGAGGAGGAGGGGGGGGGGACATCTGTGTCATGTGCCTGGCAGCCTTGCTGCCTGCAGGCCTGATCAGATTGACCTGACAGTGGTGGTCATGGCTGCTTTGTTTCTTTGAATTGTTGTGATGCTCCCCATGCACCTCCCCCTCCACAGACTGGGAGGAGGAGCAGGAGGGAGCGGGCGACGCCGAGCTCGCCAGCGACGGGGTGGAAGGCGCGGCGCCGAGCCTCGAGGGCGAGGGCAGCGCTGCGGCGGTGGCTCCCGTACGGGCTCTCCGCCGCGGCAGCAGACCCCCGCCGCCCCCGCCCAACCCCAGCCGGCGCGCGCGGACTCGCACGCCTCTGCCGCGGCGCGCGGCCGCGGCGGCACGGAGGAGGACGAGACCGCGGCCAGCGCCGACAGCCTGGCCGCCCGCCTGTCCAGCGCCGCGCTGGCGGACTCGGTGGCGGCCCCTGATGATGAGGCTGGGCGGCGAGGGAGTGGGGAGGTGCCCCAGGCGTCGAACTCAGTGCTGCCAGCGGAGCCGGCGTCCTGCGAACCGGCTCCCCGTTTGCGGAGCGAGGCTCCTCCGCGCGACTTGCGCACGCTGTATCCTTGCGTGCCCGTGGGCCCTCCAGCCGCGCAGCGGCCCTGCTGCAGCGCGCAGAACAGCGTGGGCGGGGAGCGCGCCAGGCCGAGCTGGGATGAGGGCAGCGACGGTGCGACGCGGGGGGCGCCAGACCCTGGCTCGTCGAACGACGCCAGCAGGGTGGACGAGGCCTCGGCCGGCAGGACCAGCGCCGGCGCCTCCTCCTCTGCAGGGGGCTCCTCCTCCTCCTCCGACCAGCAGAGCAGGGCGGGTTGGGGTGCGGGCGGCAGCGACCCCGGACGTACACGCTCTGATCCGCTGGTGGATGCCCCCGCCCGCCCCAGGGCGCCGACCACTCCCTCTTCAGAGGCGGTGGGGCCCCTCGCCACGTCGCCGGGAGGCTCGCGGGCGGGCCCCTCTCACCACAGGGTCCCGCCGCGCGGGCAGCCCGGCGCGGGGGAGTGGTACCGCCCGCCGCCGCGCGTGAATCAGGTGGGCGGCAAGCACGCGGCCAGCAGCTGCAGCCCCTCGGTCAGCCTCGGCGCGGAGGTGCACAAGCGCCCGCGGAAGGGCGCGCTGGGGGCCCTGCTCGCGGGGTCCTCTGCCGGCGGCTGGTGGGGTCGCGAGCGCAGCGGCGAGCTCCTGCGCCGCTCGGCCGACGCCGCGGCCTCGGCCGGCTCCGTTCGCGCCCCTGGCGCCGGGGCGGGCGGGAACTTGCCGGCGGCGGCCGGGGGCGAGGGCGGCGCGGCCCCCTCCAGCAGCTCGGAGGGCAGCCTCTGGGCGAGCTCCCTGGTCTGTGCGGACCTGACTCTCAACGATGTGGGCAGCCAGTACTGGCCGTTCAGGAGGGCCGGCACGGCGGCCGCGACAGGAGGGAGGCCGGGCGGGCGGGACGGCGGGCGGGACGGCGGGCGCGCCGCCGGCGCCGGCGGCGCATCCGACGCAGATCGCCCGGCACGCACCGAAGGGGGCCAGCAAGCGCTGGATCCCGGCCCCGCCGCCAGCTCGCTGGTGGATGGGCTGGTGGCGGCGCTGGGCGCGGCCATCCTGGCGGCGGTGGAGGCGGAGGTGGGCCGCGCCGCGCTGGCCCCGGGGCTGAGGAGCCTGGTGGCCGCCACCGCCTTTGACGACCTGCTGCGGGAGGGGTCGACCCTGCAGTCCCCCGCCACCTCCAGCTGGGACGGTGGGGCCAGGTAGGCCAGAGAGCCAGACACAGCTGCCCTCCTTGTGTTACTCTCAGTCTTGAGGACGGTCCTGGCCGCTGCCGGTGCGCCATGTAGCATTGACAAGCACCCTGAGAACTGCCCCTGCACCCTCGGTGATACCTCTAAGAAATGTAATGACTGAAATGCGATGCAGTGATGGACCATGAATGCGAGTCAGGCAGAGGGACGTGTACAGATAAAGGTCAACATGGCCTCGGCAGCGGCCAAGTCTCGCATCAGTCGTACTGCTGGCGCAGCACCATCTCCGCCTCCGACTTCCAGGCGGCGTGCGAGCTCTGGCCCTTGCTGCGCTTGTCCTTCTCCCTGTCTTTGCGCTCCTGCCTGTGTGGGACAAGAGGTGGGTTCCGCCAGTCATCGCCCCTGCAACTCGCTCCATCGGCTCTTGTACCTCCCAAAATCAGCAGTACAGTAGCCAGCTCAGGACGCCGCCATTCCCCACCCCACCCCACCTCTTCCTGGGCAGCACCGCTCCTCCAGCGCCCTTGTCCAGGAATTCCTCCACACCCATGGCCTTGCTGGGCTTGCCACGATCCGGCTTTTCACCGCCTGTCATTGACATTGGTGTGAGGGGGAGGGGAAGAGGTTTGTCAGAACGACATGATTCCATGCCACATGGATTCGGATATCGTGCCTGTGCCGAGTCACACCACAGCTACCTCGACACCCCCCACCTCCAAGGAGGGCGATGGCTGCAGCCGAGACAGGCGTGGGCCCCTCGCCCCCACGATACTGCACGGCTGATGCCTTGATGACGCCAGGCCCCGCCGCTGCCGCCTCCTCCTTGAGCTTGGGTGCCATCTTGCTGACGTCCCAGGAGCCGTCGCCCCTGCCACCGCCCTTCCCCTTGCCAGACGCGATTGAATCTGGCTGTGCAGGCCTTGGCTGACGTGCTGGGGCCGCCACGGGTCTCGTGGCCTGAGGGAGGGAGGACAGGAGGTGAGACCGAGCCTGTGCAACAAGGCGACACCCAGCGAGGCCCCTCCTCAGGGATAGATTCCCCGCGCATGCCTACCTCGGGATTCAGGAAGGCGGGAGGCCCAGACACACTCTGAAATGCTGTGAGCGCCGGGAGGAGCTTGGGCTTCGTGGACGGGTCACCACCCGGTATTGACTCGGCACCCTCCTCATCCTCGTCCTCATCCTCAGCAGCTCGGGTCGTCTCATCCCTGCATAGTGATCAAACGTTTGGTGAATAAGGGTGCACTGCCCTGATCAGAACAAAAGCATGAAGACACCCCACAACGGCCCTTGTCCCCCAATCCCTCACGCTGCAGTCGCTGCGTTCTCCTCCTGAAAGTAGCTGTCGTCGCTTGATGGAGAGGGGCTGGCTGGGAGGACCACCGGTCTGGCAGCTACGCTGGGCCCATCTGCACAATGTCATGGGGTGGCTGGGTGCAACTGTCTTCATACTACAGGCGTCGAGGCCCACCCGGTGTGCCCCTCGGACATCGCAGGGCACCCTCACCCACCGTTCCACAGGGCGTCCAGGTCCTCCTCCTCCTCCTCATTCACATCGATATTCTTTTCGGTCTTCTTCTTCCCCCTTGATCCCTTTGGTGGCATAACAACAAGTGCGTGGAGGACAGGCGCAGGGAGGAGAGGTTCCTCGCGAGTCTTGGGGCACTGGAGCGATGCACCGGCACAGCGAACCTGGATCTCAAGCCACTTCTTTCCTCATAGATTATTCCAGCTCACAGAGATAGTCCTGGCCTCAGCATCCTGTGCAGCGTCGACAGCGAGGTGTCGAGAGGCTGAGTTGCGACTCTCATCGACATGCTGTGCATGCTGCTGCCCCACACCTCGAGCTCGAACGACCGTGCGAGGAGTACAAGACACGAGCACCAGCACGCCAAGGAGGATCATCACCCCCGTCCTCGCCAGCCACGGCCCCTCCCCCTGCCGCCCTGCCAGGCCCCTCCCCGGCCGCCGTACTGCCGCTGGGGGCCGTCGCTGTGCGGCCCGGCGTGCGGCGCCTGCCAGTCCGGGAGCGGCGCCGGTCCGGCATGGGACTGCGGGAACTGCCCGGGATGGAGGCTCGGGGGGTGCGGCGCGTATGGATCCTGCGGCGGGCGCGGCGCGTAGGGCGCCGGCGCCGCGTACTGGCCCGGCCCCTCGGGGCGGAACTGCGGCGCCGCGCCGTATACCTGCTGCGGGGCGCCTTCCTGGCCCAACCGGCGCATGGGCCCCGGCCCCGCCAGCGGTGCGGCTGCTGTGCCGGACGCGCCGGGTGCCGCGTACGGCGCCGTATGCGGAGGAGCCTGCGGAGCCACCGCCGCCGCGCCGGGGGCGACGCGTGCCATCGGCACGCTGGGCCCTGGCTGCTTCCAGCCGGCCGTGTCGGCGGCCGCGGCCGCAAGCGGCCCTGCGTCGGCCTCCCACCTCGACCGCCGCTTGGCGGGCTCGGGGGGGATCGGCGCCACGGGCTGCGCCCCCGCTCCCTGCCCCAGGCTGGCGGCCAGCGCCGACAGCGCGCCCCAGTCGATGCCGGCGGGCAGCGTGATGGGTTTTGCAGCGGCGGCCGGACGCGTGGAGTCCGGCGCGCCCGCAGCGGCGGCCGGGGCAGTCGCCTCGTGGGTCGGCGCCTCCGCAGGCGAACGCGGCGCGGGGCTGCCCCTGGCGGCGGCCGGCGGCGCCACGCCTGCGTCGTCGCGCCCAGGGTCCGGCGCGGCCCGCCCCCGGATCACTGGCACCCTGGCCCCGGGCTTGGGCCGCCAGTCCTGCGGTGGCGCGAGGGGTCATGCACGGCTGAGACTTTGGTGTGGCGTGGCTGTGGTGAGGAAAGCGGTGCCTCGGTCACACAGCAACGTCTCCTGATGCCCTGCTCAATCTTGCTTCATCCTCCTCGTTCAACCCCCAACTCCCCCGACAACCCCCCCCATGACAAAATTCGACCTCCACCCCCACCCCCACCACCTCCCCTGGACAGGCACCTTTTTGTGGATGAGCAGGACCAGGGCCTGGTCGTCCCGCAGCGCTCCTGCAGCCCCCGCCCCGCCGCTCCCAGCCGCCACCTCCAGCACGCGCGCGGCCAGGTCCCCCGCCGCCAGCACGTAGGCCTCCACCCCCGGCTGCGGCGCCGCGACCCCGGTGCGCCCCCGCGCGCGGTACAGGGCCAGCAGGTCGGCCCAGAGGCCGGCCTCGCGGGGCGAGGCCCCCGGTGCCAGCCCCGCCACGCCCGCGCTGACGGCGCGGTGGCGCGAGTGGCGCAGGTCCAGCAGGAACTCCTCCAGCCGCGCCAGGGTCACGCGGCCACGCACCTCCACGTCACGATCCCCCAGGAGGAGGGCAGGGGATACGGCCCCTGCCAGGCCCTCCAGGGTCACCAGCACGGAGCCCTCGCCGGGCAGCACCAGGTTTGACCGCCAGGCGCCGGGGGCCGGGGAGGAGCTGGCAGTGGCGGCCGAGAAGAGGTGCGCCAGGGGCGAGGGCGGGGGCGGCGGCAAGGCGCCGTCGGTTTGGCCGGCGCCGCGCGCCGCCGCGTCGCCCGGCCCCTCCCCCTCCTCTCGCCCCGCTGTCCACCCGTCAAAGCCCTCCAGCTCCTCAGCCGCGTCCTCGGCCGCGTCCTCCGCCGCCGCCGACTCCACCGCGCTGGCCTTGATCTGCGCCCAGTCCAAGCTCGGGGCGGGGCGGGCGGGCGGGGACTGGGCCACGTCGGCCCCCGGCTCCAGCTCCGGCACGGGGTTGCGGTCGTGGTCCAGCACGCCGGCATCCATGCTGGCGGCGCCGGCGACAGCATCGCCTGCGGCATCTCCGGCGCCAGGCTCCTCCGCAGGCGGGCTGGAGCCTGCGTCCGGTGTTTCGGCGGCCTCGCCCACGGCCCGGGCTGCCTCGCCGCCGCGCGCCTCGCGCACGGCCGCCTCCTGCGCCTCCTTTCGCGGCTGGCTCTCCCGCGTCTCCAGCGCGGCGGCCGTGGAGAACCTGGCCGCCGCCTCGGCGTCCAGCACCGCCATCTTCAGAGCCTCCTCCTCCTTCCTCCGACGGTACTCGGTCAGCTCCTGTGGGTGTGGGCACATATTGGGGGGGGGGCAGGTTGGGGGTGTGAAGGCTGAGTGTGTGGAGCGCCTGGGGACGCCATGATCACACCTGAGCCGCGGTCGTTCATGAATTGGAGCTGATGCCCGCGACTGCATGCCGGCCGGCAACCCAGCAGACGATGCATGGCACCTCCAACCTCCTCCCCCACCTCCGCACCTTGTTGGCCAGCTCGGTGGCAGACAGCGTGACCAGCTTCTCCGGGGCCAGGCGCCCCGCCATCACCTCGCCACGCAGATCTGGGTTGGCGGGGTCCTTCAGGTTGAATTGGAGCGTGCGGTACCGGGTCTTGTACTCACGCGATGTCCCGCCGTGCAGCCGGAACAGGGCCGCCTCCACCGCCGCCGCCACCTGACCCGAGGTCAAAGGGCACTGCTCGCCCCGGACCGCGGCCTCCCCCACCGCCAGCTCCAGTGCCTGCTCGAGCCCTTGCCGAACCTGTGCTTGATGGGGGAAGGGGGGGGGGGGGGCAGGATAATCCTCTAGCTCCATGGCATTGCAGAAGCATTGCTGAAGATGCAACCCGTGTCTCCTGGCAAGAGGAACAAGCAATACACAGCGAGTAATGCTGGGGGAGGGATGGACACTTTACCAAGAATCCTCAAAGAACAAAGGGAAGGTCCTGCCCACCACTCTCCTCCGCATCGCATGTCGACGACGCCCTCTCCTCTCACAACTCAGAGCCTGTCAGCACAGACTTTGACCCAGCCCTAGCACTTGCCTTCTCCTGGACGCCCGCATCCGACAGGTGGTCTGCCTGGTGCCGTCGGGGCGTGCCAGACCCGTAGAAGTCAGAGGGGCCCTGGGGCTTGCTGCGCGGCGTGCCCGACGCGCCCCCCTGCGCCTGCCGGAGCAGTTTCTGTGCCGCGCGCTCCGCGGCATCCTCGTCGTCGTCGTCGCCGTCATTCCCCCTTGCCCCGCCCCGGGAGGCTCGCCGCCGCTCCATCTTGGCCGCCCGAGCCACGAGTGGGACCTCGTCCGAGCCAGAGCCGTCGGCGTCGTCATCCTGCATGATTTTTGGGAGGGTGGCAGACCTGGTGCAAAGCACAGGACTGTGAGCAAGGAGCTCACGTGGGCGAGCGGCTCAGCATCCGAGCACTCCTGGGGAATGCCTGGTGGGGGTGTGCACTGCGGGCCTGCCATCGCCAGCCCGTGGGCTGGGTGTCTGAGGCCGTCTTCGCCAGCCCACCGCCCACTCGTCCCAACCCCTGTCGAGCCACACCTCAGAGGCCGAGGGGCTGCCCACCTGTTCCCCATCAGAATCTTCCTCCCCAGTGGAGGCCCTACGGCGCTTTGAGCCGCTCTGCCGCTCCCTGGCCGCCTCCACCTCGAAATCTGATGAAGAAAGGGGGATGCATGGTGTCAAAGGTGCAGACACTGGGCTTTGCAGCTTGCCCCGGCAACATGCATGTTGCCGCAACACAATATAGGGCCCCTCCCCCATCCTACCTGACCCTTCAAATGTCCAGACCCCCGCGTCACCTGAGTCTTCTGCGCTGTTGTCACGCGCCCCTGCGTCTGAGATGCTGCTCTCGGGGCTCGCACTGGCTGCCGTGACGGGCAGGTGGCCCAGCCTCTCCTCCAGTGCCCGCCCTGTGTAAGGCGCGTCGAGGCCCACCTCGTCCCTCCCCAGATCGTGATGAAGGGGTCGAGGCTCACCTGCAGTCATTTAAGGCAGGCAGGCTGTATTTTCTGCAGAGTGATTTCCCCATGTGAATCCCTTATACTTTCGTTTGTGCCGCCGCCGGCTCGGTGAAAAGGGGCTCTGCCCCGCCTCATCCTCGTGACCTCGGAAGCACACCCATGTGAAAAACATACAGCACGGTTTGAGGGCCTGTGCCACACGCCGGCAGACTCACGAAAGGCTATGTGACCCTGATACACCAGGTCAGCAAGGTCAGCCCCGGTTTCCAGCTCGTCGGTGTCCTCATAGTACAGGTCGCCTTTCTTGGACGCCACCTTGCACTCGTCCACGCGAGCCCTGTACCACGTCGCATTGGCCTGCTCCTCGTCCGGCCACAGGACGTACACCTGCTTGTGTAGATAAAGGTGACCGGGTGGGTATCTGCCTACTGCCTGGCGCGGCGCTGGGTCACAACACTGCAGTTTGCGCTCGAGGCAAGGATGCCGGGCATCCCCTGCCAGCCCGCCAGCCCACAGGGGACGCACCGTGCGGCTGACCAGGGTAGACTTGATCTCTGACGGCTTCATCAGACGGTAGACGTACATTACCTTTGGTGGGGCCTCTCGGGAGCTGCCCTCTATGGCTGCACCAGGATTGGGGAGGGTGCTCGGTGGGAAACCGCTCGGACGTCGAGGTACTGCTGATGAACGCCCCCACCGCACGAGAGGCACCCACCAAGCTCTAATCGGGAAGAGGGCTTCCGCTGTCTTCTGCTCCGACTCGTCATCGCGCCGGGGCTGGTGGTGTCTCTCTTGGAGGACCTGCGCTCCCTGAACACTTCGCCGAGCCAGCAGCGGGCCCCAAGTTACTCGATATTACTCAAGAGCTCGAGCACCACCTGGGAAGAAACGGAAATCTGTCGTGTACACGCAAAAGCACGGCGTTTCTGACACCGACATCGGGCTTGATGTAGCATACGGATCTCCGCACCGCGCGCGCAAAACTTGCCGAGCATTGCTGCACCATCCAGCCTTCCCCCCTTTGGGCGAGGCATTCGTGTTTCTAGCTTGTGACATTGGTGCAAGCGGTCTACGGTACTGTTTCCTTGCGACTTGCGACAGTTACATCGGGTGCGATGGCAACCTCCAAGGATGCTGCAAAGGCCCCAAAGCCTGCTCTGTCCAGCAAGTTGATGGGTCTCAAATTCATGCAGCGGGCTGCACACAAAGAAGCAGTCCAAAGCGCTGCGACAAAATCCTCGCAGCCATCTGAGGACGTGAGCTTGCTGGGTGGGGTGTTCGACATGTTCTTCAAGACCAACTGCTCCCGTGCTGCTCCACAAGTCGGGCCAACTTGAATTACCCACCGCCCCCATAGGCCCATTGGGTGAAAACGAATGCCGCCCAGCGCTGTGTCGTGGTCTTTGGGGGAGACCCACCGCTGTCACAGCGTGGCCACAACCGGGTCAGCTTCGGAGGGCAGAACACGGCTGTCGAGGCTGAGGCGCGCCGATCCTCAGCGAAGGCTGCTACAGGGGTTAGGGAAGAGGCAGTGGACGACGCTGGGGCAACAGTGTCCGATGCTGACCTCGCATCCAGGTGGGCTGGAGGGACACAAATTCATGGATGGAGCCTGGAGCTTGTGATGATGTCCCTGGCGTCTCAGTGATTCTTACCCCTGTTCTCAATAATAGGCTGGAGGAGCTGCAGTCTGTCAGGACGGAGCGATCGGATGGAGCTGCCAGGAGGGCTGAGGTGAAGCAAGAGGTAGGCCAGAAGCGCTCCAGACCCAGATGAAGACCCAGATACATTCCCTTTGTGACTCCCTGAGTTGAGGTTTGAGAAAATTACCGCCGCCTGAAGATGAAGTAAGTTGGGTTGCACAGCTGCCGGGGGTGAGTCCGCCCACGTGCTCGAAAGTGGGCCATTGGCCCCCGCCTGGGGAGAGCCGATGAGAATTGGCATTTCACACCGCGATGCCGCATTACTGCCCTTCGGACTCACCAGTTGGGGGTAAATTTGAGGCCTTTGGGCGGCATGTATATCCAGACCATGGAAAGTTGCAGCGCGAGGGTCTTGTAGGCTAGATCGAGGTTATTCCCACCTCGTCGATGCGGTCCCACGAGACTGGCACCTCAGATTCAATGTCGTAGTGACATAAACAAAAGGATCGACGACATGTTTGGCAGGCGCAGACGGTGCAGGGGTGCCATCAGCCCTTGCGCCCATGTCAAGGTCGCACTCCTTCTGTGCATGGCCGCGGCTTGCCTGCCAAGGGCCCCAGCTACCGGCCTAGTCAGCTGCCAGGACATTCCTGAGCTTCAAGGCTTGTCGGGCCTTCCTCCTGTCCACGGCTTCTGCAGGCAAGATTGAGCGGGGAGTTATTAAGTGGTGTAGTAGTGGAGGGGGGTGAAGGAGCCCTGGAAGAGGGAGGCTCAACTGTGCCCCGTATTTCACAGGGCTCCCTTTGCCTCTTCGAGATTGGATTGCATGCCAAGTGCAATGTCCTGCTGGATGAAGCCAGGACCATCCGCAGCACCTGCACCCCACACCGCCGCCCTCACCCCAACTCCCCCAGGCCCTCTGGCTCCAGCTCCAGCCCTTCGGTCGTGGAGGTCCAGGCCAGCTCCCTGCAGTCGGGCCAGCCCCCCCCACCCCCCACCCCCTCGGGTACAGACCGCTGGATCCTGCAGTGGCGCAACGCCAGCTCCGAGGCAGCCGCGGCAGCCTGCGCCGCCAGCGACTGCGGCCTGCGCTTCTCGCGCGTGCTCTCCGGCGCGGCGGCGCGCCTGCCCCGCGCCGGCCTGGCCTCCTTCCTGGCCGTGCACGGCGCCGCGCTGGCGGCCCTGCACGCCGACTCGATCGTCTCCGTGGCTGACACGCATGTCCAGTCGGTGGGCGGCGACGCCGACCAGCTGGCGGCCGGCGCCGAGTCGCGGGCGGGGCGGTGGGGCCTGGACCGTGTGGACCAGTCCGCGCTGCCCCTGGACGGGCTCTACCACTACGCGGACGACGCGGCCACGGTCACCGTGTACGTCGTGGACACCGGCATCCTGGCCAGCCACGAGGAGTTCCGGTCCTCGAGCGGCAACTCCACCAGCCGCGCGGCGGAGGCGTACACCACGCTCTCCTCCGGTACCCCGGGCTCGGACTGTCAGGGCCACGGCACGCACGTGGCGGGCGTGGTGGGCGGGCTCTCCTACGGCGTGGCGAAAGGTGTCGCGCTGAGGGCGGTGCGCATGCTGGACTGCCAGGGGCAGGGACTGGTGTCCGATGCGGTGGCCGCGCTGGACTGGCTGGCCGACAACGCGGCGCGCCCCGCGGTGGTCACGTTGTCGCTGTCCGGGGTGGAAAGCGTGGCGCTGGACCAAGCGGTGGCCGCCGCCGTGGCCGCGGGGCTGCACGTTGTCGCCGCGGCCGGCAATGGCGACGTCGACGCCTGCAGCGTCAGCCCCGGGCGCGCCACCGCCGCGCTCATCGTCGGCGCCTCCGACGAGCGCGACCGCCGCCTGTACGCCGGCGACGGCGTGGCGAGCAACTACGGCGCCTGCGTCGACCTGTTTGCGCCGGGGTCAAACATCCAGAGCGCGGGCATCACCTCGGACACCGCGTCGGCGTGAGTTGTGCATGGGGTGGGGGGGGAGGATTGAGGATGGGGATTGGGGAATGTGCTGGCTGGGTTCAGGGGAGTGTGTCGGGTGCGAACAACCAAGGGGGGTCCGGGGATCAGAGCGGAGCGACAAAGGAAAGGTGACCATCGAGGCGGTGCACGCTCAGCCTGGAAAGCATGGGTACTCTGCAGGCCCACACTGGGCACCGCCCGTCGCCAACTTGTGTCCAGCACCCTGGGTCAACCCATGCCTGCCCATTTTTAGACTGAACTGGCTCCTCAGCACCTCTACCTCATGTGCGCACAGCCACCCCCTTCCCCGATACTCACTGCCTGCATAGGTACCGGTCGGGCACGAGCCAGGCGGTGCCCTTTGTGGCGGGGGCGGCGGCGCTGGTGCTGCAGGACCAGCCCAGCCTGGCCCCCGCCGCGGTGGCCTCGCTGCTGCGGGACGGCGCCACGACGGGGGTGCTGTCCAGCTCCGACTCCACCTGGACCTTCTCCGCCTCCCAGACGCCCAACCTGCTGCTGCAGAGCCTGGCGACAGGCGTGGCGCCGCCGCCCGCCGGCTTCCCGCCCCCCGCCGGCTCCACGTCCCCCGCCGGCTCCCCGTCCAGCGACACGCCGGTGGCCGGCGCCAGCCAGCCCCCGCCCCCGCCGGCGGCCGTGACCCTGCAGTCCATTGGCGGCTCCGCCTACGCCTGGGCGCTGGGGCCCTGGAGCGCCTGCGACGCCGACTCCTGCCTGCAGACCCGCACGCTGGCGTGCCAGCTGGCCACCGGCAACGGCACCGCCGTGGGGCTGGCCGCCTGCGCCGCGGCCGCCCAGGCGGCGGGGTCGGCCGCGCCCGCCACCGGCCGATCCTGCTGCGCCGCGGGCGGCGGCGGCCCGCGCGGCGGCGTCATCGTGGCCGCGGCGGCCGGCAGCGCCTTTGCCATCGTGCTGCTGCTCCTGCTCCTGCTGTGCGCGCTGCGGCGCCGGCGCGCCAGGGCCACGCTCGAGCTCGGCGGGGAGGGCAAGGGGCCGCCGCCGCCGCCGC